TCATCCTGGAGGGCCAGGCTCTGCGGCTGCTGTGTGCTGCTGACAGCAACCCTCCTGCAGCACTGAGCTGGTTCCGGGGGTCCCCAGCCCTGAACGCCTCCCCCATCTCCAGCACTGCGATCCTGGAGCTGCCTCGAGTGGTGACTGCAGAAGAAGGAGAGCTCACCTGCCAAGCTCGGCACCCGCTGGGCTCCCCAAGTGTCTCTCTCAGCCTCTCTGTGGTCTGTGAGTGTGGGGACCCTTGTGGGCAGGACACCTTGTGCTGGGGAGGGGTGGGGCACCGTTGACTTCTCTCCTCTCTCCCCCAGACCCCCCAGAGCTGCTGGGACCCTCCTGCTCCTGGGAGAACAAGTGGCTGCACTGCAGCTGCTCCTCCAGAGCCCAGCCAGCCTCTTCTGTGCGCTGGCGGCTGGGGGAGTGGCTGCTGGAGGGGAACTTCAGCAATGCCTCCTTCAAGGTCATCTTCAGCTTAGCAGGTCCTTGGACCAACAGCTCCCTGAGCCTCAGAGAGGAGCTCAGCTCCAGCCTCAGGCTCAGCTGCGAGGCTGGAAACGTCTGTGGGGCCCAGAGCGCCACTATCCTGCTGCTGTCAGGTCAGGGGATCTGCTGGGGACAGAGGCTTTGGGAGAAAGGAGTAGATTGGAGAAAATGAAGCTGTGGGCCAGGGGCTGGGGCCTGGAAGGCACATGATTGCTAGGACATAACCCTCCAGCTCGTGCCTGCACAGGCCCTACAGCCAGTTCTGTTGTAGGTGGGAAAACAGCGGACTGGGTGCTGAGAGTGGGTCATCTTCTGCTCTTTTCTCTGTAGGAAAGTCAGTGTCCCCGTCGGGAGTGGTTCCTGGGGCTCTTGGAGGCGCTGGCGCCATGGCCCTGCTGTCCCTGTGCTCATGTCTCATCTTCTTTTCCATGTAAGCCTTTGTCCTGGGGAGGAACAGGGAGGTGCGTGGTCGGGGATGATGAGAGATGTCACTGAATCCCAGAAAAGCAGAGCCGAGTGCATCCAGAGGGGCCTTTTTGGGGAGGTGGGTGGGGAACAGCTTTATTGAGATAAAATTCCCATGTAGTTGAAGTGTACAATTCAATGGCTTTTGGTTCATTCACTCAGAGCTGTGTACCCATCACCACAATCAATTTTAGAACTTTTTCATTAGCCCAAAATGGAGAAGAAACAAACAAAAAGAAATCCTACACCCCTTAATTGTCATCCCGCCCCCATTGTCCCCCCAGGCCTAGGAAACCACTAATCTATTTTCTATTTCTCTAGACATTTCATATAAATGGAATTATATAATACATGGTCCTTTATGACTGACGTCTTTCATGTAGCATGATATTTTCAAGGTTCATACATGTGTCAGTACTTTATTCCTTTTTATTTCTAAATAATATTCCATTTTATGAATGGGGCACATGGTATTAATATGTGTCCATTCGACTGTTGGTGGACATTTGGGTTGTTTCTACGTTTTAGCTATCACAAATAACTGCTATGATGACTCGTGTAAAGCTTTTGTGTGAAAGCGAGGTCTTTAGTGATGGAAATTCAAACTTGGCCAAATGCCTGGTCATCCAAGGGGACCGGGTACTCACTTGCATGTCAGGAGAGTCTCTGAGTCTGGTCCCAGGGTCTGGATGCCTC